GTGTCCCTATGAGCATCCTATCCCTGAATTTGGACACAGCATCTGTGCATGCATGTGCCTCCCAGACCACTCTGGGAGGCACATGCATCTTAATGTCATGAGAGAGGTCGTACCTTCTCTTACTGATTTATAGTATAGGAGTCTGTATCTGTTTAAGTATAAGTGCCTTTTGTTTAGGTGGACCGCTGGACTCCTGGCACCAGCAGGTCTGGGGAGTCTTCATAGGGTCACATCTTGACCCCCCCACCTCCTCCACACACACACACATACACACATAACTACAGGATACGCAGACAAGGTACTCTTTGTTCACATGTATACCTATGTAAGACGTAATATGTTAATGAACTTGTGCATATTTATGTAACCTCAATGAAGAACAGTGTCACAGGAGAAGCTGGCTGAGAGCAACTGGGGTTCGAGCAGAACCCCAGTTCTCTCCCTCGTGCACGAGTAACAGAAAGAACTTGGGTGACTTGCATCTTGTTTTTACCGTTGTAGGAGAATTGTCTCGTTCCAGCAGTGGGTCTGTGCCAGATAGAAGTCTATCAAAATATTTCAAGCCCCTAAACAGAATTTTGAGCTCCTCTGAAAACTGCACGCCTCTTCATTGATCTGAGAGAAAGCACAGAAAAAAAAAAAAAACGAAAGCTACATCATTAAAGTTTCTAATGTGCAATAAGATCCAGATGTGTGTTCCACTCTTCCTCAGTCAGTCTAATCTCACCAATGGATGAGCAGTACCGGGTTTCCACCAAATATAACATCTACAATTTAAGAGCAAACAGTTCAATCTTGGTGTCATCAGACGAGACATTCTCCTCGTCACAGTCTGAGAGTTTTCTCACTGCTTTTTTTCAAGCTTCAAACTCATATTCGATGTATGTTCCCATAAACTCATAAACCTTACAGGAATCCGCTCCCTTCATGCGTCCTCATTTGACAGTAAAATATATGAAGATATCAAACAAAGTTTTCCTTAAAAGTCAGCTTCAGTTACCAAATGACAAGAGAGGCTGTCAGGTAAGTTACCCAACATTAACCTTTCTGTTTATCTGACTTAAACGTTTTAAAATACAGACACATCATGTTGTGGCTTTGCATTTTTTAAAGACATTATAGAGTTTGGTAAATATTGCAAACAATAATTTTAGACGTGTCCTAAACTATAAACTAAGCAACCTATTATACTAGGGATAATAATTCTGATACAGTATTAATCATGATCACTAATACCATTACAGAGAAGCCAAGAATGGAAAAAACCTGTTTATTGATCATCCTGCTGCTCTCAGGTCAGTAATTGTAATATCTCAAACATTTAAACTAGACTATAAATATACTGAGACAGACATCGGAGTCATCAGGTTACATGCTCAGGCATTTATTTCATATCACAATAACTGCATTTATTTCAAATGTAAGTTCCTTTTTTATCATATTTATATTTTGATTAAGTAAAAACTTGTTGTATTCATTTCTATGATAACATATCAAACTAAATAGTTTTTCATGTTTTGACTGCTATAGCACAGTCATTCCCAAACTTTGGGGAAGGTTTTTTTTTCTCCTTCTACTTCTTTTTCTCCTCATTTTTATTTTTTACTGTGATTAACAACAATGTTCAGCTAGTCTCAGTCAACCCAGACAAAATAGAGTTGTGTCAGGATGGGCACCTGACATCAAGTCTTTGTCAGAGCTAATGTAGATAAGAAGGAAATTTCCATACCAAATGTGGATGTAAGAAGAGGAATAGGAATTACTAAGGTCACATAAGCCAAGGTGTGAATAGCTTCCATCTCATGTAAACTGGGCTTAGCTGGAGAGTAAGGAGAGGGTAAAGGATGGTTTAATATTGTTTCCACTGTACCCCCAAGATTCTGTATCTGTTCATAGTTATTTAATTTTACTTCCAAAGGACTCATTAAGCTAAATCATGTTTTCCCAAAACAAAGCGCCTTGGCTAATAAAAGCGTTCTGTATCGGTTAGCATCTGCTGAGTTTATGTTCTGTCTGCATTGTTCTGTCACAGTTTACACAAAGGATGTTTGCAGGATGCACCGAGGAAAGATTTTAATTGATTGTAGCTTTAAATGAGTAGGAATTGGTTTAAATTAGAGATGTCACGATACCACTTTTTTATGTCCAATACCGATATCATAAATTTGGATAGCTGCTGATAACAATAAGAATCTGATATTGTTTATTTTATAATCAATAAAACTGTTTTTTTTAATCTTGCTGTATTTTATATGAGTTTTAAAAAACAAAACACTACCACTATTCTGTTAAACCTTTATGCAAAAAATACCCATGAACCCAAAATATTTCATAGTTCAGCAATACTGATCAATCTAATAAACTTAAACCTACACCATCCTCCCTAGTCTGGTATTTTAAAGAGTAACTAGCAGAAATATTAAACAACCTAACTAACCCACCCCTCCCCTCGTGATGCTTAATTGACATAATCAACTTTAATTTAATCCACATGTAAAACAAATGTACAAAAAATAATTATTTTTCTACAATAATTAAACGGATGCAACATCTTGCTTCGTCAGAATTATAGACTGCACAGCTGGTACCTTCACAAAGGAAAAAATACTATAGCTTACTAGTGTAACTCGGATATATATTAGACTAAATATTTACTTTATACAATAATGGACTTCTGTACATTTGACATCAGATGAAAACATTTCAGATAATTATTCATTAAAAGAATGAGAATAAGAAAGAAAAGTATTTCTTTGTGCCCCCCTTTTCCCTGTTAATGCCCCACCTGGCCCCCGGGGAAAACTTTGCTAGACACGGCCCTGCACAGCTACATAGAAAAAGAAAAAGAAATTAATATTAAATAAGTTCTAACAACAGCCTATAGAGCTTAAATCTGCTGCTTATGATTATCTGCTGTTTTCCTCTCTCTGGCGCAAAGTGGTCGACGGGACTCACGAAAGAAAAGCCGATCAGCTGATCATTGATCAGTTTCATGATGAAAGAAGCAACAGGAGAGGGAAGGAGAGAGAAGAGGCAGTCGCTCCATATATCAGTTGTTAAGCTTAACATGGGAATGCTTTACAAACATTTAGAGGACTTACACACTTGCTTTACGTCCCTGGGATTGTTCTCTCTGAGATGAAATGCTGGTTTGGAAGCATGTATCGTCTCACACACCACAGCCGCTCTATCACGTGACGCATACTGCATGCTAAGGTCATGAGCAGTTTTGTGAGGTGCTTTTGTTATACATAATGGATCGGACTTTTTTTTCTCTTCTATATGCAATCCAGTAATTTCGGTCAGGATCCCGATATTGTATACTAGAGGTCATAGTCTTTCTCTGGTATGCATTTCACAACGAGTGGAGGGAGCCGTGTGGACAAATAAAGGAGGATCCAATTGCAGGCACTAGTGAAGGTGAGAAGGTGGTTTATTGAACACGAAGCACAAGAAGAAAAAAACAACTAAGCTACCGAACACAAACCAGGACATGAACATGAAGGAAGGTAGATGACGGTGCATGAAGGTGACAGCAGGGAGAACACACAGCTGGGAGTAATTAACGAGACGAGACAAGGGAGGAAAAACTGAACACACTCACATGAGACGCAGACCTTCACAATATAACAGGAACCAAGAAAACACTACACAAGGACGCAGACATGACACCGAGAGACAGACTGAATATAGCACATGGAACCTAAATGCTAAACATGAGACACAAATCCTGAAACACGAATAAACAGAAACATGGAACTCTAATGATAATAATAATGATAATCATAGCACCCGAAACCACAACAATCATTCAAAAATAAACCAAACATCAGAACTCAATGCATAGCTGTTTTTCCAGTAAACAAGTAAGTCATCCCAGGTTGCATCGTTTAGGATCCAAGGTAGTGCTTACCAGTGGGCGAGAATCAATCAGGCAGATTTCGTTGCGTCCTGGACATGTGTAAGATATGTATTCTGTGATAAAGGAAACCAGGAGACGTATGTATATCGCTTTATAGAAGAAGAAAACTACTTTTTAGCCAGGAGGCTTAGCTCTCACATTGTTGCTCAAAAAAACAGCAAAACATACAGAGACAGTCTGAGGTCATGTAAACTGTATTTGGCATGTAAGTGGAGTCAGGTGTGTCAGTGGATGTTGGGTCAGCCACACTTGTGCCTGGGAAACAATAAGAATTATTAACCAACACACAGACAAGAAACAGAGAAAATGGTCCAGGATTAGAAGACAGGCTGAGATGGTGCAGAGGAGGGAGAGTGGAAATATTAAACACAGGATGATGAAGATGGTGGTGCCAGGAAGGGGAGAAAGAAGAAGAACTCAGACATGATTGATGGATGTAGTAGAGGAGGACATCCGGAGGCTTGGTGTGACAGATGAGGATGCAAAATTATTTTAAAACAAAACATTAAATCTCCGTCTCAAACGAGTCGCAGTTTCTTCTGTGTGTGTGAGAGACTCATTATTTGCAGCTGCTGCGTTGGTGTTAGGTCTCGTTCAAATATGCATGTAATACATATAGTTGCATCATTAAATGCAGTTTTGATAAGATTTTGCCTGATGATAAATGGAACAATGTCTTATAAATCCCGCATCTTCATCTGACTGCTGTGTATATTGTTCTATATTATTAGTAAACAGTTGCCCTTGTAAAATATCACAATCATGCCTCAAAGGTAGCAAAAGTAAAGACATTCCTATTTTATGTAGAAGAGCAGATACTTTTATTATTTGGTAAAAGTACTAATTCAGCTTCTTTACTGATGGAAAACTGTGAAGTACAGGATCTGAAATGTACTCTGAGTAAGAGAAAAAGTAACTTTAGTCTCTTTTATGTCTTTGTATGTGATAAGCCCCACTGATGGATACACCATAGTAAGTTTGAGATTTGAAGGCTCACAGTGATGGAAATTACAAACTTTAGGACATTTACTGCCCACATGTTTTGAAAATGCAAGGAGTAAAAAGTACAGATACTAGTTTAAAAAATTGTGAAGAAAAGTAAAAATAAAAACTCAAGTAAAGTATAGGTGCCTTAGAATTGTACAAAAATAAGGTAATTGGCTAGATGGTTGCGATTTTTATTTTTTGTGAATTTGCCTTTTCAGTGATTTGTCTAACAGCCCAGTTTCCACAATAAAAACTTTCATTTCTCTCAGGAGGACTTTCCACTCTTCCTCCCCACTCCAGAGAATACCACTTTGTGAACCAGACAATGACCTGGACTGAAGCTCAGAGTTACTGCAGAGAACACTTCACTGACTTGGTCACCATCTACAACAGCAACATCAACCAACTGCTTTTCTCAAAGGGACCAAAGACCAAAACATGGGCTTGGATAGGGCTCTATGATGATCGTTACAGCTGGAAGTGGTCCATGGAGGGAAAACTTTTTTATGTTGGCAGTAAAAATGAATTTTTGATCTGGGCTAACAGCCAACCAGACTGTGTATATGCAAAGGAATACTGTGTGGCTCTTCAGGGACAAACACAGATGAATGATAGACCCTGTGGAGCTTCTTACCCTTTCCTGTGTTACAATGGTAGGAAAAACATTTGTTGCCATAGTTATCCCTACAATTTTATGAGATTCATAACGTGGTTCAAAATTCATCCTTTTTTAATCTTTTACAGCCAAAAACAAAAGTTACATCTTAGTGAATGAGAGCCGCTCCTGGTCAGCGGCTCAGTCGTACTGCAGGACATACCACACAGACCTGACCAGTATAAGAAGCAAAGAGGAGAAATCCAACATCACGCTCACTTTGAATGGATCAGGGGTTCAGTATGTGTGGATTGGTCTCTACAGGGATCCCTGGTCCTTCTGGTCTGACAACACAACCTCCACATTCACTAACTGGATGTCTGGTCAGCCTAGTAACTATTATCCACCTGAGGACTGTGGATCAGTTTATTTAAAGACAGGGGAATGGGCTGATGATGACTGCAGCAACAGTAACTATGTTTTCTGTTTCACAGGTGAGGTCCAGAATGCAAACACTGTAAGATCCTGTCATCATGTAAAACACTAATGTTTGTGTTGTTATATGTGGTTCATTTGTAGCAGTGACAAAGCAAACAGTGGTGAAAATGAAGCTTCAGTCAGAGGCAGACATGCACAGCACAGAGATCCAGCAGCAGGTTTCACAGCAGGTCAGCAGTTCAGTCACCAACACAAACTTGACACAAGTTCAAACTATGCTTCATGTTTTTCATCATCTGCACATTTTGTCCAGCTGT